GTAGTAGTAGTATTAGTAGTAGTAGTAGTAGTAGTAGTAGTAGTAGTAGTAGTAGTAGTAGTAGTAGTAGTAGTAGTAGTAGTAGTAGTAGTAGTAGTGGTAGAAGTAGTCGTCGTCGTAGTAGTGTTAGTAACAGCAGAAGTAATCGTTTGTCCTTTCGTTTTTTGTTTAAAAAATAGTTTTCAGTAGTCGTAGTAGTCGTCGCTGTCGTCGTCGTTGTAGTGGTAGTAGTAGCAGCAGTAGCGCTAGGAGGAGGACGGGTAGTAAGAGGAGGAGGAGGAGGAGGAGGGAGAGGAGGAGGAGGAGGAGGAGGAGGAGGAGGAGGAGGAGGAGGAGGATGCTGAGGCTGAGGAGGAGGAGGAGGAGGAGGAGGAGGAGGAAGTGGAGGAGGAGGAGGAGGAGGAGGAGGAGTCGCTCTGAGGAGGGAGCAGCAGGGGAGGATTGCGCAGGGCCGAGGGCCCGCGTCAGTGTGACCGCACAGCAGTTGGTGCCCACGCGGGTACTGATTGCTTTCTGGTCCAGGAGTTTACGTACGTCTGTCACCAGGGTTCTGCTCTGGAATGCGCGCGCACGCGCGAGATTGCTCACGGATTTCTAGAAGGGCCTTCTTGTTGGAGGAGCGATGGGTTGATCTCTCCCCCTCTCGGCGGAGGCCGAGAGGACGTAGAACGACGGTGGCTTCGCGGGAGGAAGCAAGCAGAAGTAAACGTGTATTCCCAGGAGGGACCGACGCTGACGTTTTCAGGGTTCGAGGAGTCGGCCACAGGGGAGCCCGGGTTTCTCTTTAAGCAGGTGCTTGCGCTTGCGCAGGCGCGCGTCACAAGCGTGCGTGCAGCGCGTGCGGGAGCACGTTCGTGTCGGGTGCCATCGTGGCTCAACCGCTGCGCTCGGAGCCTTCCAACCAGCGTAGGCCGCGCAGTCGCGCGAGCCCGCGGCGCCGCTCCTCGCCATGGCCCCCGCGGTCGCCCAACTTTCGACTTCCAGCGAGGACAACGTCCGCGCCCGCAAGTGCTCGGGCGTCGTGCGGGCCCTCCTGAGCGGCTGCGGGGGGCGGACGGCTGCGGCCCAGCCCGCTGGGCAGCCGCAGCGGGCGATGGGGGGCAGGCTCGGAAGGGGGGCCCGCTGAGACAACGACGGCTCGCCCGCCTGGCCCAGATCTCGCTCAGAATCGGTCCATCCGGACCCTACCGGAGGCCCGAACAAGACGGGAAGCGCCAGGGAACCCAGACCCCCGATGTCGACCCCAAGAGGTCTGGACTCATTCCTGGGGTCCTGTCTTTCACCCCGAACAGTTCTTTGTATAGTCCTGGGGCCCGGTGCGGGCCCCCAGGGGCCTCATGGAGGCTCTCAAAGCACGAGGAACGCCGGGGCGGGGGGGGGGGGATGGGCAAAGGATGGGAAACCGCCAGGGAGGGCCGCCGTTGTCTCGCCTGGCCCTCCGACAGGTCCAGGCCGCCCCCTCTGGACACCCTGGCGAGCTCTCCGAGGAGGGCCGTCGGCGCCCCGGGGCGCGGCGACGCGAAGGCCAGCGACGCCGCGGTGCGGCCCGACACGCCGAGCACGGTGTGCAGCCCTGTGGGCGGGCGGCGCTCGTCTTCACACAGCCTGAGCAGCAGCGAGACGAGATGGATCTCAGACGAGGGAAAGCGACTAGACGTCAGAGTGACCTTTCGCCGGAGTGACCTTTGGTGCGCGCCCGCTGCGGCTCCCCGATCGCACATAGCGAAGCGTCAGCAGTGGCTTGCGCGCCCAGGTTCGGCCACCCCGCGTCCCCCGTTGAGTCGCGCGCCCTGGGTCACTCTTTCCCAGGGTCACTGTTACGTGTAGCCGAGAAAAGTTACCGATACTGCTACCGTTCCCTGGTTATCGCTTTTTCAGGCCTCCTGGGAGGCACTCGTCGCCACGGCCGGATTCGCCTCGAGATCCTGGGCAGAACGCGCCCTGGGAGAGGCCCGGGGAGTTGCAGTATTCGTAATCTTTGGTCCCCCCAGGATCGGGCTCGGCCACCCTCGGGCCAAGTCCCTCCTCGAGAGGCTCGGGGGTCGCGACTGGGACGAGGAGGAGGACGACGACGAGTGATCGAGGCAGATGTTCGTGGCTTCTGCCCGAGCGCGATGTGGCGCTGAGAAGGACATGCTTGCCTTTCATATCATGTACATACGCGTACATAGAGAGAGAGAGAGAGAGAGAGAGAGCGAGAGAGAGAGGCGTCTGTTGAGGAGGGAGAAGAGAGGGGAGGAGAGGGGAAGGGTACCGCTGAGAGTGTCGAGGTGTGAGCCGTTCTTTTGTCGCGCGCGCCTGGCATACAGCATCGCCAGGTGCGAGCACGTTACACTTTCGGCACCCCGTGCACGTAACCCACGCGCTGCCAATCAGAGCAGACAGTTCGTCCACGCCCTGCTTAGTGGTCATCTAGGCGTCCCTCTTCCTGCATGTTTGATCGTGAGCACCAGCCTCTCAATCACACACCTCATCCAAGGGCCTACGCCACAGGTACTTTTGATACACTGCGCTGGGCCCTCTGTACTGCTAGCCCTTCCAGACAGCTGGCCGATCGCATACTGTTTCAACGCCAGAAGAGCTTTCTTTGAACGCTGCCGAATTCGATGGCGGACACGGCAGAGAAAAAAGTCCTCATCGTCTTGTGCTGATTTTCTTTCACCAGGCCGTGCGTTGGCCGTTGACGCTGGCTACCTGCCTTCCGCGCGGTAAGCGGCCTTCTCTGGCATTGGCAAGGGTCCGTCGCCCCATCCTTGCTGCTGTTGCAGCAGACTGTTGAGCGCTATGCCCACGCGAGTTGCTATGGGTCTCGTGCGGGCAGAGGGAGGGGGGAAAGGAGGAGGTGGGAGGAAGATGAGACAGAGGATGAAGGGGGAGGTTCGCTGCCCCATGGCGCCGGGGGGGAAGGGGGGGGGGGGTTAGGAAGGAAAGGGGGCGACGAAGGGGGAACACTCGAGAAGGTGTCAAGTTGAGGGGAAGCGCGTGCATCCTCCAGGTGGGCTTGACGGACCCACCTGGGGCCAGTGGCTTGCCCCCCCCCCCCCCACACCCCCCTCCTCTGCGCGGGCTTCCACCGCTCCCAGCCCCAACGCTTCTGCCTCGGCCATGGACAGGAGGAAGAGGAGGTGAAGAGGAGGAGGAGGAGGTGAAGAGGAGGAGGAGGAGGGGGAGGAGGAGGAGGAGGAGGAGGAGGGGGAGGAGGAGGAGGAGGGAGGCTTGTCGCGGCTTGCTGAGATAAGCTACGCAATTCACGCAGCCAATTAGCCCCCGCGCACCCCGCGGCTGGTGCCCATGTCGCCGGTTGCTTTCAGATCCCTGCATCTCGATTTGGTGTTCTCCATCAGTTTGGGGCTCGCTGCAGGCCTTCTATCGCTCCCAATTCATATTTTGCTACTTGCTGCTCAGCCTACTGTGCATTGCACCGCCGTTAGATTTCAGCGGCGAGAGTTTCGCACAACAGGAGTTGTTATTCTATCGGTTCGGCCGGGGGTTCCCGCTCGTGTCCTTGACGGTGTCTGTAGATTCCATGATGAAGCTTCTGGTGTCGCCTTGTGGAAGTCGATTAATGGAGAGGAAGCATGCTGCCAAATAATTTCCAGATGTCTACAACTGTTTCAAACATGTTCCAAACATGCCAAACACATGTTTGAAACATGTTGGGAGCATGCTGTACACATTTTAAACACATCGTTAATTCAATCATAGGACTGTTAGAGTGCCCATCGTCATGGCACCCACAGCCGTGAAGCTTCTCGTGCCGCCAAGCTCGGTCTGTTCCTTCACTTCTTCCCGAGCTTCCGGCGCAGGCGACGGCCGGAGCGCACGTCCAGGCAGAAGAGCGGCTCCTTTGGTGTGGTGGTGCCCGAGCCCGTGGCGTTAGGTTTGAGTCGGGCCTGTCCCTCTACAGCGGGAGTATTCAAGAATAGTCCAACAAATAGTCTTTTTTTTGTTTTTGATATTGTTTGAGCTTTTTTGGTGTATTTGTTGGGTATTTCTAATTTTTCGGCCAACAGCCTCCTGCAGGGGGACACGCCCGACTTAACGTTAGATCCAAATATCCTGGAGTATCCCCAGCTAGTAGTGTCAGCATATTTGATGTGCTTGTTCGCGATGGTCACGTTTTCTGCCACAGCAGCGAATCAAACAACATTCAAAAGGCTAAGAGACTCGCAGAATCACACCACAGCGTGCCTCGGTTGAGCTGCTCTTTTTTGGGGGGGAAGATGCTTCACTTCGTGATTGACGCCATGCGGACTGCGGTGCCGTGAACACATACACACCAAAGGAGCTGCCCTCGACTGGCGCGCATGAGGGGCTCTTGCCAGAGGTGTCCAACTATGCTGAGCTGGGCGCCAGAATCACCGCTGGGACGTGCCGTGAATGATTCTCTGGTCTTTCGCTTGCTTGCGATGCTGGAGGCGGTGACGAAGCAGGACACAAAGCAGGAGCTCAAGCAAGGGTTGCCCCCGCTGGTGGACAGCCTGGTGCAGCAGAAGTAATCGACGATGTTTGACGAGGACCTGGGCAACCAACTCAGCCTGGTCCTGCAGCAGCGGACGTCGGTTATGGTCGACGGCATGGCGCCGAGAGATTACAACACCACTTTGAGGCCAACCAGCAGCCCCTCAAGCGAGGTGCCGACCATGATTGAGTCCAGGGTGAGCGGGTGTTAGGCTCGGCGGGAGGAGCTGGCTGAGAAGAGCATGTTGGCTTTAGCGGATATGCCTTTGCTTCCTCGCTGCCTGGACCTCTTGGGCTCCTCTCGAATGATGCACCACGGCTTCGCTGTTCGGTCGCTTGGTATTCCATGGGGATTCAAAGCGAGCGCCTTCGACGGCATGCCCGGGGAAGTATGCGGTGGCGACGATGACCGTGTGTTCGTGGAGTTTCTTGGCTGCGATGGCGCTGGGAAAGCAACGCCCAACATTCTGGTGGTGAACAGCGCGGTCAGCGATACTGAAACGATATCCGTCAACAGCGAAGTTGCGGAAACGTATGCAGTGATAGCCATATCGGCGTCACCCCAACATCTTTATACTATATGTGCGTCGCCCTTCGGGGGGCGACGCGCGCACCGAGAAATCTTATAGTATATGCGTCGTGGCGGGCGCTTTCTGGCCACACCGCTCGGGAAAGGATGTACTACAAGATGGGTCTACTAGATGTTCGCGTCGGGCGCACACCTCATACTACCCTTTCGGGCGGGCATCTCTGTGGCCCCAAGCTGCAGGGGGCAACGACTATGAGTTCGACAGGGGAGCTGGCTGCCTCCAACTCCCGCAAAGGCTCTGACGACATTCGACTGGCTACGTGCGAGGAGGAGGAGGAGGAGGAGGAGGAGGAGGAGGAGGAGGAGGAGGAGGAGGAGGAGGAGGAGGAGGAGGAGGAGGAGGAGGAGGAGGAGGAGGAGGGAGGAGGAGGAGGTGAGGATGAGGAGGGAGGAGGCCCCAGTGGCTGCTCCCGCATGCCCCCCCCCCCCCCCACGCCGTACAGCGTTTCGTGGCCCTCATAGGGAGCTCCACCGAAGATCCCAGTGGGCTGCTTTCGCATGCGGGACCCCACGCTGTACGGCGTTTTTGGCCCCATGAAGGGGGCTCCACTGAAGGCCTCAGTGGCTGCTCTAGCATGCGGGACCCCCACGTTGCACAGCGTTTCGTGGCACCATGGGGAGTTCCCCTCCTTGTCCCTGCCCTCATCAGTGTGCCCCCCCACACTGTACAGCGCTTCGTGGCTCAATAGGGAAGGCCTCAGTGGCTGCACTCGCAAGCGGGACCCCCGCCCAATACAGCGTTTCGTGTTCCCATAGGGAACTTCTCCGAAGTCCCCAGTGGCTGCACTCGCATGCGGGACCCCCGCCCAGTACAGCGTTTCGTGGCCCCATAGGGAGCTCCACCGAAGGTCCCAGTGGCTGCACTCGCATGCTGTTCCCCCATCTAGTGTAGTGTTTCGTGGCCGCACACGGGGCTCCACCGCATGACCCTGTGGCGGTGTTCGCATGCGTCTCTCTCTCTCTCTCTCGCACCTAGTACAGCGTTTCGTAGCCCCACAGGGAGCTCCACCGAAGTCTCCAGTAGCTGCGTTCGCATGCGGTTCCCGTTCCCGCACCTAGTGCAGCGTTTCGTGGCCCCACAGAGGGCTCTACTGAAGGCCCCAGTGGCTGCGCTCGGATGCGTTCCCCCCAGGCTGTACAGCGTTTCGCGGCCCCATAGGGAGCTCCACCGAAGGCCTCAGTGGCGGTATCCGTATGGTGTTTCCCCACCCAGTACAGCGTTTCGTTGCCCCATAGGGAGCTCCACCCAAAGCCCAGGTGGCTGCACTTGCATGCGTTTCCCCCGCCCAGTGCAGTGTTTCGTGGCCCGATAGGGAGCTCCACCGAAGGCCCCAGTGGCGGTGTCCGCATGCGTTTCCCCCAGACATTACAGCGTTTCGTGGCCCCGTGGGGATCTCAGCCGAAGGTTCCAGTGGTGCCCCGCCCAACTGCGGCACACCCCTCACACGTTTCGCGGCCCCATAGTGGGTTCCGCTGTCCGATGTCCGTGGCAGCGCGCACGTGGCGGCCTCGCCCATTGAATCAATGACCCACTGTGCGACGAAAGCTTTGCAAAGGCAGATGCGTCTGTCACGGAATACCTTTTGGAGGGGGGAGATGGTGAGGGACGGAGGCGGAATAAATGAGAGGAAGGGGGGAGGAAGGGAGGAGGAAGGGAGGAGGGAGGGAGGGAGGGAGGCACCCATGTGAGAGGCACGCCGACACGGGTGAGCTGGCCCGAAGGCGGCTCACGGTGCAGCCGCAGGATTGGATTGGGGCCCGTCGAGGCAGAAATCGGCAAGCCTCTGGGTCTCACTCGTTAGACAGCACTACCGAGGGCGCGCAAAGACGGTAGGCGCAGGGCTCACGAGCACGACTGGGAGAAGAAAGGAGAACGGAAGGCCGTGGGGAGGACAGAAGAAGGCAGGCGGAAGATGATCGCTTTCCAAATCCCCTGCTCCTGGGCCGACGGGATGAGGATGAGGAGGATGAGGAGGATGAGGAGGATGAGGAGGAGGATGAGGATGAGGATGAGGATGAGGATGAGGATGAGGATGAGGATGAGGATGAGGATGATGATGATGATGATGATGATGATGATGATGATGATGATGATGATGATGATGATGATGATGATGATGATGATGATTATGCTGATGCTGATGATGATGATGATGCTGATGCTGATGATGATGATGATGATGATGCTGCTGATGATGATGATGATGATGATGCTGATGATGATGATGATGATGATGATGATGATGATGATGATGATGGATGAGAAGGAGGAGGAGGAGAAGGAGGAGGAGGAGGAGGATCAAGACACCCTGGTTTGAGCACCCCCCCCACGACAGGCCCTGGGGGGGAGGGCAGCGATCGACGATCCCTTCGGCCACCAGGCACAGGAATCGGAGGAGGAGGAGAGGCTGTGGAGAGCGGTGGCCCTACACTGCCTGTGTGTCCGAACCACAGCATGCTCACGAGCAAGAGGGGGGGGGCAGGTACGATGCCGCACTCAAGGACCACCGGGAGCAGTCGCGCTGGACGAAGGTCCGCCGGCAGCTGGAGACGGAGGCGGCCGGGCGGGTGCGCATTTCCTTCTCGTCGTCGTCGTCGTCTACTTCCTTCGAGCTTCGGGCTGCGGACCTTTCTTCCCCGAAGATCTGTGGCCCTCGACCCCCGCCTATCCGCTTCGCCGGGGGGAGAGGCGAGAAAACCGAGAGTTGAAGATAGAAAAGACGGGGTGCCCGAACGGCGGACACGCGACACCAAGGTAGGGGAGAGGAGTGGAGGGGCTGTTGCCTGCGTTCGTGCGTTCCTCTTCCTGGTAATCCTTCAATTCTTGAGGTCGGAGCTTTGGCCCATGGTGGATGAGACGGCGTCGGCAAACCAGTAACTCGAGAATACCGCCGTGGGCCACTCTGAACCGGACCCCCATCTGGACCTGCTGTACACATGCTTGTTGCTGGGGGCCTTCCAGTACACAGGACGCGAGTACATACTGTACGTTGATGATGGTGGCGTGGCTCTTTCTGGTATGATCATCACTGAGTTGCCGACGGCAGAGTCCGACGGGAACCCCGAGGCCTGCTCTGACTATACTGCCTGTTGTTATTCACTCACTGGTTTTTCACCCTTCTTGGCAACCTCCCTTTCACACTGGGCTCACACTGTGACATCTGCTACGAGAACAGAGTGGGTATAGCAGACTGCAGTTCACCAGCGCAATGTTGTTTTGAGCAGTATCTGAAGCTATTTGTGTTCTTTGATGCGTTCCTGAGGCGCGATCGTCGTTCGTCTCCCCTTTTTCATATTCGACTTCATGCTCTGCGGTATTTTAGAGTTGTGCCGCACTGTGCCTCCTGCTCTTCCTGTCCCCGAGCCCCCGAACAGTAATATCCAAGGAGCCCGTGCCACGGCAATGTCACGGCGTGCGAACTCGCTGATTTCTCGTCGCCAAGTCTCTCGAACCGTTCATCTTCGAAAAGGAGAATGAAGAAAGTACCCAAACGCGGCTCGACCGATCTTTTGGTTCGACATTTGAGGCGCCCCGGGGCATGCGTGCGCCACTTTCCCTGCGACGGGTAGGAATCCCGTGTGTGTGTGTGTGTGGAGGATGACGGAGGAGGGAAGAACGGAGTGTGAGGTGGTTGTGCAGGAGGAGGAGGAGGAGGAGAAGGAGGAGGAGGAGGAGGAGGAGGAGGAGGAGCAGGAGCAGGAGCAGGAGGAGGAGGAGGAGAAGGAGGAGGAGGGGCAGGAGCAGGAGCAGGCGCAGGAGCAGGAGCAGGACCAGGAGCAGGAGGAGGAGGAGGAGGAGGACCAGTGAAAACCCAAGAGTCATAGACGATGTTGGAATAAACCCTCCCTCCAAGCTTCCTCTTCACAGGCCATCTACATACGTTCATTTCCGCAGGGAGCTGCCTCGTTGGAAGACAACCGTTTGAAGACCCTGAAGCATGCCAAGACATTGTTGTCGGGATTCCAACGCCACGGATCAACCTGACTGTTGCGTCTTGGCGATCCTGAATCGTGCCAGAACGCCACTCCTGGGATTTCAACTCCGCGAAGCAACGTAACTGTTGCACTCTCCTAGTCCTGAGTCCTTCCAAAGCACGATTTCTGGTACGCTGTCCATGAGTGGGAAGCAGTGACACCCTTGCAACTTTCACAAACTAATGTGCGCCGCCCTAAGGCGAGAGCCACATTTTGGAAACGACCCGCCCTCAACCCGTGAAGCTCTTACAGGTGTTCCCATGTCCTAAGATGGGATTATTGGTATTACTCAGACCGCGCGGAACGCAGGAAGGAGAAGGACGGAAGGAAGGAACACCCCTCCCACCTTCAGGCCATCATTCTTTCTCTGACTCACTCACATGTAGACTCACTCATATTCAGACTCACTCATACTTAGATGCGCTCGCTTTGGTATTACTGATACTCAGGTTTCGCATGCTCGGGATCACTCATGTACAGACTCACTAGCACTTCGAATCGCTTCTCATAGTCGAGGTTAACCATATTTAGGTCACTCACACGCACACTCACACTCACACTCACTCAGACTCATACTCAGACTCACTCACACTAAGGTTCACGCATACTCTGCCTCGCTCTTCCTCATTCAGACTCAGCCACACCACTTCCGCGCTCAGACTCAAACACACGTTGTGATGATGTCTCAGGCGACGCGTTGGTTTCAGCACTCCCAGGGGGGCGGGGGGGACAGGGGGTACTGCACGGGCCCGTTCGCGCCCAGATTGGGGGGATGTCTCAAGCGGTTTGCCTGGTTGGGTGCTCAACATCCTTCTCAGTCGGCGCAGTTTCCGAGGATGCCTCAGGCGAAGCGCTGGTTTCAGCACTCCCAGGGGGGGGGGGCGCCAGGGGGTATTGCATGGGCCCGTTCGCGCCCAGATTGGGGGGATGTCTCAAGCGGTTTGCCTGTTTGGGTGCTCAACATCCTTCTCTTTTGGACCAGTTTCCGAGGATGCCTCAGGCGAGGCGCTGGTTTCAGCACTCCCAAGGGGGGACGCCAGGGGGTATTGCATGGGCCCGTTCGCGCCCAGATTGGGGGGATGTCTCAAGCGGTTTGCCTGTTTGGGTGCTCAACATCCTTCTCTTTTGGACCAGTTTCCGAGGATGTCTCAGGCGAGGCGCTGGTTTCAGAACTGAGAACTGGTGAAGGATGGCGAACAGAAAGGAGGAGGAGAAGGTGGAGGAAGAGGGAGGCGTAGGAGGAGGAGGAGGAGGAGGGAGGAGGAGGAGGAGGAGGAGGAGGAGGAGGAGGAGGAGGAGGAGGAGGAGGAGGAGGAGGAGGAGGAGGAGCAGGAGGAGAGGGAGGAGGAGGAGGACGGATGTGGAAAGACGAAGAGGGTCCTCGCCGCCGAACGGGCAACTCGGTTGGCCGAGGCGAGAGGATCGAGGTTCGAGGCTCCTGGCTCGAGCTTCGTTGCTCTAGGTTTCGAGTTTTTTTTGTGATGTTCGAGATTCCTGGGCGTTCTCGTCTACACGGATGGAGAAGAAAGAGGAGGAGGACGGTAGGGAAAGGAGAAGAAAGAGGAGGAGGAGGACAAGTAGGAGGACGGAAGGATGAAGCAACTACTTAAAGTCGTCGTAGTCGTCGGCGTCTCTCCCGGGCCTCGTTTTCCACGTGGATTCGCTGACACTTGGATATTGAACAAGGACAATGTCTTCTACCGAAGTGTGCCATCACTATGAGATGCACATATGGGGATCTCCGCGTCGAGTAATTTAAGACGAATGTACGCGGCGGTAAGGCGAGAGCCACATTTGGAAAACGACCCGCCCTCCATCTGTGAAACTGTTGTCACTGTTTAAGCTTCATGGTCATAAAGGATGAGGAAGTCTCAGGCGAAACGCCCCGACCGCCCTAAAAACTAGCCTCGGGGTGCGACAGGGAGAAATCACTGACAAGGGAAACAATGGAGGAGGAGGAGGAGGAGGAGGAGGAGGAGGAGGAGGAGGAGGAGGAGGAGGAGGAGGAGGAGGAGGAGGACGAGGAGGAGGAGGAGGAGGAGGAGGAGGAGGAGGAGGTGGATGAGGAGGAGGTGGAGGCGGAGGAGGAGGAGCAGCATGAAACATGAAGCAGATATGGCAGAACCCAAGTGCAAGCCTGGCCGCACGCAGCACATCACCATTCTCGGGGAAATTCCATTCCCGACTTTGGGGGAGCCCTCTCGAGAGCCTCCAAAGGGCCTCCCTCCTCTTGGCGGTGGGGCCCTGGGTAGGGCACAAACTCTTCAAATTACGAGCACCGGTGACCCCGAAAGCACCACACTCCTTACATAATGGCACGCCATTCAGAACTCTGAGCTGGTGAGAGGGGTGGCAGGTGGGGAAGAGGAGGTGGGATGCGACGTCACCGCCATCCCTCTCCCTCCCTTCGCCGAGCCGCACCCCGCTTTCACCATCAGGCTCAGGAAGATGCCCGAACCTCGAGCCAGGACAAGGGGCTGGCCTGAAACACGCGAGCGGGCCCCAGAGACTAAACAGATACTACATTTGATCAGAGTCCTGAGCACCAGGGGGCAGTGCAATTGTTCGCGCACACGCTCCAACCGCGTACTCAAGCCGCGAGCAGGCCCTCGCACACGCACATGCTCATGCCCAACACGCGCACGCGGACGAGCACAAGTCATGAACACCTCGCGCTGGACAGTGAGCATCCTAGATAAAATATCCATCCTCGAGGTGAGCGCGATCCACGAGGTCAGGGGGAACTGTGCCTCTGGAAGCGGCCTTGGCCGCCAATGCATCTGCGACAACATTCAACATCCTCTCGATACGGGTCATCCCGAGCTGCTCAACCTGGAACGGCGTGGGATGAGACTTGGTCCACCTCAAATCAACATACCCCTCACGACGTTCAAGAACCTGCCTCAATTCAGCCTACAAGTCAAGCATCTCAGACTTTTTGCAGCAACTGCCGTGGTTTTGCGAAACCCACGGACAATAGGTAAATAATCAGAAACGTCCAGCACTCTCCCAGTAGTGTTCTTCAACACCATGATGAGCGCCATAAGCTCTGCCCTCTGGGAACTCTGGCTCTCGCCAGGGAGGGTGCCAGCAGTGAAACCATCCACGTCCTGCAAACACCGGCCTCCAGTCCTTAGTGTTAAGTCGGGCCTGTCCCTCTACAGGGGGTATATTCAAAAATAGTCAGACAATAGTCTGGGGACGATTTTTTTTAAATATATTTGGGGATATTTTGGGTATTTTTTGTTTTTTTGTTCGTCGAAAATGAGCATCCCTCCCGATTTTGTTGACCCCCCAGACTCCACTCGACGCAGTCTGGTCGCCCTCAAGGGCGCCCCAGCGCCAGAACGGACCGGCAGGCGGCGGAATGCGGCCAGCCGAGCGCGGTTTCGGCATGAGCCCGCGGCACCAGAGAGCAGGACTCAGGAGGGGAAAAAACACACAGACACAAGTCATCGTCGATTCCACAGAAAAGATGGGAAAATATGGAAAGTGGGGGGGAAGACAGAAACCAAGAAAATATGGGAAAATATGGAGAATCCTGTTAGTAGTGTGTATTTATTTGTGTGTCTTAGGGCCCC